CTGGGTCGAGAATGTTCAGGAGAGGGCGATATGGCCAAGGAAGTAGTTTGGGAAGATTAATGATGCAGATGAAGTTATGACGGTGACGGCGATGTGGTTGGAGGATGGTTGGAACTACCGTCTTCCAAGTTCCAACTCCCAACTTCCAAAGTTTCAATTCCCTGTCCATGAAATAGTACGGTATTTTTCCATCCATTCCAAAAAATTAATAATTTAGGGACAAATAAAAATTAAAGATTTTGAAATAATGTTTATATTTATTTATAATATATTTTTTTAAATAAGAAAGTAAAAAAAAATCTGTTGTGATTAGATAATTAATTAAAATAATTATATAATAATAGAGTTCAAATAAAAAAATATTTATTTATTTTCAAAAATAAAAAATTATTATTATTTTGAGATCAATTTACAATAAAAAATAACAATTATTTTAAAATAAAAAATAAAATTAATAATTAATTGAGTTACTATTCACTAATTAAAATTTTTTAATTTAATGTCAAAATTAAAAATTCAGTTTATGTGTCATGCAAATATCTAACATTTTAATGTACTAACATTTTAATGTACTAAAAAAATATTACAATATTAATATTTGAATTTTTTTATCTTGTATTTAAATAGTATAGGATAATAGTGTAATAAATATATTTTTTATAATTAATTTTTATTAAAAATATAAATTTTAATTTTAATTTAATCAATTAATCAATTAATTAAAATCATCCACATGTTAATAATATTAAAATATATATCAATCTTTACAATTTTTAATGTGAATTAATTATAAAATATATATTTATTATATTTTTAATATACATTCTAAAAATATAAATTAGATAAACTTTTAATATTTTAACACTTTATTAAATTTATTAATAAATAAATAAAATATTATTTTATAAATTAATTTTGATATTCAAATTTTATGCCCTCGACTAACCAAAGTAATTTCCCTTTGTGGCGTGTGCCTTTGAAATCTTTCTGAGGAAATATTAGTGGCAACTGCAAAAGTGCAGGAAAATTAGATGGGGGACATTTTAACGTAAATAAAAAAGAAAAAAATGATAGTGTTTTGTACTGACGCCGTTTTGTTTGTTACCGAGAGGTGGGTGGAATTATCGGCTACGCAACGTTTGATTTGTCGGCATAGCATCCAATAATTGCGCCACCTTTTTGGTATCGTCCTAAGTTGTTTACGCGATTCCAATTCCCATCTTCTTAACTTTTTCGTTTTAATTTTTTTAGTATTAATTTATGGGATCAAAGAAAATTATAATATTT